CTGGGAAACTGGGATGCCAGGTCTTAGAGGCAGTGGGACACTGAGTAGTGGGGAGGCTGGTGTTCTAGGGCCCTGGTTTTTTTTTTTTTTTTTTTTTTTTCTTTTGAGAGGGAGTTTTGCTCTTCTTTCCCAGGCTGGGGTGCAATGGCGTGATCTCGGCTCACTGCAACCTCCACCTCCTAGGTTCAAGTGAGTCTCCGGCTTCAGCCTTCCGAGTAGCTGGGATTACAGGCACATGCCACTATGCCCAGATAATTTTTGTATTTTTAGTAGGGATGGAGTTTCACCATGTTGGCCAGGCTGGTCTCGAACTCCTGACCTCAGGTGATCCACTGCCTCAGCCTCCCAAAGTGCTGGGACTGCAGGCGTGAGACACTGTGCCTGGCCAGGGGGCTGGTTTTGGAACAGTCAGAGGTCTGGGATGTGGAGCCAGTCAGGAAATACAGGGCGGGCGGTGCAGGGGACCCGGCACAGTGGCTCAGGCCTGTAATTCCAGCACTTTGGGAGGCCAAGACGGGTGGATCGCCTGAGGTCGGGAGTTCGAGACCAGCCTGAGCAACATGGAGAAACCCTGTCTTTACTAAAAATACAAAATTAGCTGGGCATGGTGGCTCATGCCTGTAATCCCAGCTACTAGGGCGGCTGAGGCAGGATAATTGCTTGAACCCGGGAGGCAGAGGTTTTGGTGAGCCGAGATTGTGCCATTGCCCTCCAGCCTGAGTGACAAGACGAAACTGCGTCTCAAACAAAAAACAAAAAATAACTGGCCCCTGGGCTGAGGTGTTCTCAAATGAGCTTTCCAGCTGGAACTGCCTGGCCATCTTCAGGGACATACAGCAGTCCCCAACCTTTTTGGCACCAGGGACCAGTTTCATGGAGGACAATTTTTCCATGGACTGGGGCAGGGGATGGTTTTGGGATGATTCAAGCGCATTACGTACATTCATTGTGCACTTTATTTCTATGATAACACTAATAGAATATGTATAACATGTATAATTGTTTCATTATAATATATAATGATAATATATAGTGAAATGATAGAATTATAATATATAATGAAGCAATTCTACAACTCACCATCATGTAGAATTAGTGTGAGCCCTGAGCTCGTTTTCCTGCCACTAGATGGTCCCATCTGGTGGTGATGGGAGACAGTGACAGATCATCAGGCCTTAGATTCTCATAAGAAACACGCAACCTAGATCCCTCGAATGCACATGTGATTCCGTGAAGGCTTTCTATGAGAGTCTAATGCTGCTGCTGATCTGACAGGAGACAGTGCTGGGGCGGTCATGCGGGTGACTGGGAGCGGCTGTAGATACAGATGAGCTTTGCTTGCCCATTGCTCACCTCCTGCTGTGTGGCCCCAGCCTGGGGGTTGAGGACCCCTGTATCACAGCATCAGGAGCTAGAGTAGGACTGAACCCCTGATTCCCACCTTCCAGGTGTCCCTGAGCCAGCCTCCGGAGGATGAGCTGGACAGGCTGACCAAGAAGCTGGTGCACGACATGAACCACCCGCCCAGTGGGGAATACTTTGGTGAGCTGAGGCTGTGGGGCAGGTAGAAAGCGGGAGGGGAGGCTGGGAGACAGAAGGGACAGTGGCTTTCTGGGTTCGTGCAGACTGGTGTTGTTTCTGCCTGTCCTCAGGCCGGTGTGGTGGCTGTGGAGAAGATGTGGTCGGGGATGGGGCCGGGGTTGTGGCCCTCGATCGCGTCTTTCACGTGGGCTGCTTTGTGTGTTCTACGTGCCGGGCCCAGCTTCGGGGCCAGCATTTCTACGCCGTGGAGAGGAGGGCGTATTGCGAGGGCTGCTATGTGGTGAGTGGCTGGGGCTAGGGGGCCTCCATCCAAGGTGGGAGCTAGGACGTCCAAGCCCAGAGGAGGAACGGTGCTAGAAGCCGGGCCACTGGAAGTGGTGTACAAACAGGAAGGAATTCTGCAAATATCAAGCAAGTAGCTCAGCACTGGTGGCTGGAGGGAAGGACGCAGCTCTTAACAAGCGTGGGGCGTCTTACAGTTAAAGAGAATGTGTTAGATTCCCACGACACCCATGAGGCAGGTATTACTACTGACTCCTGTTTTTCTTTTTTGAAACAGAGTCTTGTTCTGTCGCCCAGGCTGGAGTGCAGTGGTGCAATCTCGGCTCATTGCAACCTCTGCCTCCCCTGGTTCAAGTGATTCTCGTGCCTCAGCCTCCCGAGTAGCTGGGATTGCAGGCGCCCGCCAGCACACCTGGCTTATTTTTGTATTGTTAGTAGAGACAGGGTTTCGCCCTGTTGGCCAGGCTGTTCTCGAACTCCTGGCCTCAAGCAATCTGCCCACTCCGGCCTCCCGACGTGCTGGCATTATAGGCGTGAGCCACTCCGGCCCGATTGCTGCTTTTCTCAGAGTGGTTAAATACCTTGTATAGTGCTGGGATCTGAATTCAGATCTGCTCAAGTCCGTTTTTTCACCGAATCACATGCAGGAGGCTGCAGAAACAGATGCCTAGCCTGTTGGGGTGCCTGGTGGGCTGCCATGGCTCCCACTGGCTGCCAGATTTCCCTGCTTTCTTTCCCAACAGGCCACCCTGGAGAAATGCGCCACGTGCTCCCAGCCCATCCTGGACCGGATCCTGCGGGCTATGGGAAAGGCCTACCACCCTGGCTGCTTCACCTGCGTGGTGTGTCACCGCGGCCTCGATGGCATCCCTTTCACAGTGGATGCTACCAGCCAGATCCACTGCATCGAGGACTTTCACAGGTCAGGCCCGGCCTCCACCTCGTCTCACAAGGTCTGACCTTTCCTGTCTCTCTCATCTCCCTTTCATGCCCCAGGACTGTCTCTTCCTGTTTCCAGCCCCTGGCCCTCCTTCATTCTTTGCTATTACTATTTTTTAGAGACAGAGTCTTACTCTGTTGCTCAGGCTGGAGTGCAATGGTGTGATGATAGCTCACTGCAGCCTCCAACTCCGGGGCTCAAGTGATCCTCCTGCCCCAGCCTCCCATGTAGCTGGGGCTACAGGTACGCATGCCACCATGCCTGGCTAGTTTTCTTCGTTTTTTCTTTTGACATGGAGTCTCACTCTGTCACCCAGGCTGGAGTGTAGTGGCACGATCTCAGCTCACTGCAACCTCTGTCTCCAGGGTTCAAGTGATTCTCCTGCCTCAGCCTCCCAAGTAGCTGGGATTACAGGCACGTGCCACCATGCCCAGCCAGGTTTTTTTTTTTTTTGTATTTTTAGTAGAGACAGGGTTTCATCATGCTGGCCAGGCTAGTCTCAAACTCCTGGGCTCAAGCGCTCTACCTACCTCAGCCTTCCAAAGTGCAGGGATTGCAGGCATGAGCCACTGCACCTGGCCTTCTTTGTTTTTTAATAAAGATAGGGTCTTCCTCTGTTGCCCAGGGTGGTCTTGAAAACCTGGCCTCAAGTGATCCTCCTGCCTTGGCCTCCCAAAGTGCTGGGATTACAGGCCAGAGCCACTGCACCCAGCCTCTCTCATTCTCTTTGACATCATCCCTTCCCCAGACCTAAGGCCACACCTCTGGCCTCTGATTCCCTCCAGTGCCCCACCTTCTCTGGGTCCCATTGTTGGTGCCCTGCAACCCCAGGGCTTGATGGCCTTCTTGGTTCTCTGCCCCTCCAGGAAGTTTGCCCCAAGATGCTCAGTGTGTGGTGGGGCCATCATGCCTGAGCCAGGTCAGGAGGAGACAGTGAGAATTGTTGCTCTGGATCGAAGTTTTCACATTGGCTGTTACAAGTGCGAGGTCAGGGGGCCCCAGCATGTGCAAGGGGTTGGCAGCGTCTGGGGTGCTGGGTAGAGCACGAGGGAGGGGGAACACAGAGGTCTCCAGTAGACAGAAATCTGTTTTTTTTTTTTTTTTTGAGTTGAAGTCTTGCTCTGTTGCCCAGGCTGGAATGCAATGGCGTGATCTCGGCTCACTGCAACCTCCGCTTCCTGGGTTCAAGCGATTCTCCTGCCTCCCGGGTAGCTGGGATTACAGGCACCCGCCACCATGCCCAGCTAATTGTTGCTTCTTTTTCAACAGGAGTGTGGGCTGCTGCTCTCCTCTGAGGGCGAGTGTCAGGGTTGCTACCCGCTGGATGGGCACATCTTGTGCAAGGCCTGCAGTGCCTGGCGCATCCAGGAGCTCTCAGCCACTGTCACCACTGACTGCTGAGTCTTCCTAAAAGTACCTGCTGGGTTCTCAGTTCCAGTTCCCATCCAATGATTGATCACCCTCCCTGACATCTACCTGTATGACTTTGTCACCAAATGCTGGCTCCTCTTTCTCCAATCACGAAATAATAATCCCTCCAGTTTACAAAGCACTTTCAAGTCTGTCATCTCGTCTGATTCTCCCAGTAGCTCATTACAAGCCCAGTCGCTGTTACTGTCTGTATTTTTACATGTGAGGATGCCAGAGCTGAGAGGTGACTCCCCCAGATTGCATTTTTTTTTTTTTTTTTGTTGTTGTTGTTGTTGTTGGAGTCTTGCTCTTGTTGCCCAGGCTGGAGTGCAATGGTGTGATTTTGGCTTGCTGCAACCTCTGCCTCGTGGGTTCAAGTGATTCTCCTGCCTCAGCCTCCCAAGTAGCCAGAATTATAAGCACCCGCCACCATGTCCAGCTAATTTTTGTATTTTTAGTAAAGACAGGGTTTCACTGTGTTGGCCAGGCTGGTCTCGAACTCCTGACCTCAGGTGATCCACCCGCCTTGGCTTCCCAAAGTGCTAGGATTATGGGCATGAGCCACTGCACCTGGACTGCATGGTTCTTAAATGGTAGAACCTGGGTCTTTTTGGCTCATTCGTTTGGTTTTTGGCAACTCTTGTAATGTATCCCTACCCTCCTCTCAGTGCTATGAGCAAGCGTGCCTCAGGGAGGAGGCACCTTTTCTATATATATTTATATTTTGAGACAGGGTCTCACTCTATTCCCCAGGTTAGAGTGCAGTGGTGCAGTCAAGGCTCACTGCAGCCTTGAACTCTTGGGCTCAAACATTCCTCCTGGCTTAGCCTCCCCAGTAGCTAGGACCACAGGGAGATCCCACCAAGTTCAGTTATTTTTTGTGTGGAGATGGGGTCTTGCTTTGTTGCCCAGGTTAGTCCTGAACTCCTGGGCTCAAGTCTTCCCTCATCAACATTCCCACGTTCTGGGATTGCAGGTATGAGCCACTGTGCCTGGCCCTAACTATTCTGTAAAAATGGGGGACTTGCCATGTTGCCCAAGCAGGTCTCCCGACTCAAGCGATCCTCCCACCTCGGCCTCCCAAAGTGCTGGGTTTGCAGGCGTGAGGCACCTCAGCTGGGCTTCCTAGGAAGTCTTACACTCAATTCACTGAGAGGGGACTTGAATCTGGGCGGTCCATACTCTGTTGTTTAGGGCGTTAACTTACAGCCTATCTCATCCAACTACTGAGTGGGGTTAAAACTGATTATCTGCCACTTTTACTTAAACATGGGGCGTGTTTGTGGAGGAAGAGCAGAAACGACGGACTTTGCAGATAGTGCCCACTGTGGCATCCAATTTTGGCTGGATCTTTGGAGCAGAAAATGGTGGGAAACAATGCTTTAAAATGGTCGCTTCCATCTTTCGTCCCCTAAACGCCCGCGCTTCCCAAGCCCACGGCTTGCCCAAGGAGGGGACGAAACTACCCCCGGCGAGGTCAGGAGGCCCGTCAGGGCACCACGGCTGGATAAGAAATGGCTTAGACCCCCGACACATCAGGGGTCGCGCGATCGTCCACTTCGGCCCTCGGAAGCCCTCCCTCCGCGCAGGGAGAGCCCCTCCTCTCCCCGCCGAGGCCGCGCTTGGTCCAGCCGGCTTCCCGTAGTTCCTCACGCTCAAGCCGTTCTCGTCTCGAAAAGCCGCGCGAGACTTGTAAGAGTCCGCCCCTTTCCCATCACGCCCTGCTCTCCCCGCCAGTCGCGCTCCGTTCGTTAGTTCCAGTTCGGGCCGCGAGAGGGGGAGCTTTGTGCCGGGGAGGCGCGAGTGACGCAGGCGCAGCGCGGGTGGCGCGCGCGACCGTCCATCCTCGGTTGTTCCACTTTTGTTCTCCTTTCTTTGGCCCTCTCGCCAAGAGCTCCGCGTCTCCCTCTTGCCCTCTTCGCCGTCCTCGTCGCGCGCCCGCGGCCCGGGTCGCCCTGAAATCTAGCCGGTCAGAGCGCGAGTCCAACAGCCGCGGCAGCTCCCAGGTGGGGGAGGGGAGGAGCCTGGGGGGCCCCGCTGGGCCGGTAGAGGAACCGGGGGCGAGCGGGGAGACCCTCCGGGCGCGTAGAAGCGTTAGAGCCGCGTCCTCCGGCTCAGGATGGTGGGGGCCGCGGAGGGCTGGCCTTGGCGCGAGGGAGGCGGCCGAGGTGCCTGCGAGGGACGGTCCCTCCGTCCGCTCCTCCTTGTGCACCATCCCGACCGCCCCTCCTCGGTCCCCACGCCCCCTCAGGCTGTGCCATGGGTGACAGTGATGACGAGTACGATCGAAGGCGCAGGGACAAGTTCAGAAGAGAGCGGAGCGACTACGACCGTTCCCGCGAGAGAGATGAAAGACGTCGAGGGGACGATTGGAATGACAGGTGAGCCGTTTTTAACTCGTCTTGTCCTCGCTTCATCCGCGTCGCTTTTCTTTTTCCTCCTTGCAATTTGTATGAGGGCGAACCCTGTGAAATGGCTCATTGGACTGTTAGCTGTGGTGCAGCCTCTTCGCTGTTGGCCAGAGAACTAGCTGTGGCTTGGTTTTTGAAATGCTCTGCAGATCAGAGCAGTAGAGTTGAGTTTGAGCATAAAAAGCAGTCTTTACACATTCGCGAAAAGCGTGCTTTTTTCGTTGTTGTTATTGAGATGGGGTCTTGTTCTGTTGCCCTGGCTGCAATCATAGCAGCCTCTACCTTCCTGGCTTAATTGATCCTCCCGCCTCAGCCTCCTGAGTAGTTGGGACTACAGGGGGAGGCCACCACACCCGGCTAACTTTTAAAAACTGTTAATATTATTATTATTATTTCGAGACGGAGTCTCGCTCTGTCGCCAGCTGGAGTGCAGTGGCGCAACCTTGGTTCACTGCAACCTCCACCTCGGGTTCAAGCGATCCTCCTGCCTCAGCTTCTCGAGTAGCTGGAATTACAGGCGCCCATGACCACAGCTGGCTAATTTTTGTATTTCTGGTAGAGACGGGGTTTCACCGTCTTGGCCAGGCTGGTTTGGAACTCCCGACTTTAGGTGATCCACCTGCCTCGGCTTCCCAGAGTGCTGGGATTACAGGCATGAGCCACCGCGCCCGGCCTGTAGGTGTTTTTTTGACATAGAGTCTCACTCTGTTGCCCAGGCTGGAGTGCAGTGGGGTGATCTCAGCTCACTGTAACCTGCATCTCCTGGGTTCAAGCGATTCTCCTGCCTCAGCCTCCCAAGTAGCTGGGATGACAAGTGCTCATGCCACCACGCCCAGTTAACTTTTGTATTGTTAGTAGAGATGGGATTTTCACTATGTTGGCAAGGCTAGTCTTGAACTCCTGACCTCAAGTGATCCACCTGCCTCGATTCTCAAGGTGCCGGGATTAGAGGCTTGCACTGGTTGAGCAAAAGTACGAATGTGATTGATTGAACTGAACGAACAGCTTTTTTCCATGGCGTGTTATTTTTACTTGAATGAATGACAAACAGTGATTGTTCATACTTGGGTATTTGGCAGACGTCTTCTTGAAAATGAACTGAGAACCTTTTACTTCAGTGTAAGCTGTCAGTATTTGTTGCCAGTGATGAAGTGGAACTTTCCAGTGAAAATTAGAATTTTGGGCTGGCGAAGGGGCTCATACCTGTAATCCCAACACTTTGGGAGGCGAAGGTGGGTGCATTGGTTGAGCCCAGGAGTTTGAGACCAGCCTGGGCAACGAGATGAAACCTGTGTGTACAAAAAACTTAGGAAAATTAGCTGAGGGTGGTCGCACACGTCTGTAATACTGGCTACTCAGGAGGCTGGGGTGACCCTGGGAGGTCAAGGCTGCATTGAGCCTTGATCGTACCACTGTACTCCAGCCTGGGCAACAGAGAGAAATCCTGTCTTAAAAAAAAAAGAAAAAATTAAAATTTTGTAAAACTTTTTTTTTTGGAGACGGAGTTCCACTTCTGTCCCCCAGGCTGGAGTGCAGTGGCGCGATCTCAGCGCACTGCGGCCCGTCTCCTGGGTTCACGCGCTTCTCCTGCTTCAGCCTCCTGAGTAGCTGGAATTACAGGCACGCACCACCACGCCCAGCTAATTTTTGTATTTTTAGTAGAAATGGGGTTTCTCCATGTTGGTCAGGCTGGGCTGGTCTCTAACTGCTGACCTCAGGTGATCCACTGGCCTTGGCCTCCTAAAGTGCTGGGAGTGCAGGCATGAGCCACCACACCCAACCAGTTTTGGATAACTTATATCGACTAATGTGAGCTTGACAGCTTCCCATTAAGTAAAGACTTTTCTGGTGAGATAGGCAGTGATGCTAATAATGTATTTTGATGCTCTGTGAGACATAACAAGGTCCATTCAAAGGGTAAGGTAGAACAGTAGATTTTAAGTTGGCGGAGAATGAAATGTTCTTCACTGATGCTGTTTCAGATTGAAGGTTCTAACTAGCCTGTGAGAAACTACCTCCTGGCCGGGCGTGGTGGCTCAAGCCTGTAATCCCAGCACTTTGGGAGGCCGAGGTGGGTGGATCACAAAGTCAAGAGATCGAGACCATCCTGGTCAACATGGTGAAACCCCGTCTCTACTAAAAATACAAAAAATTAGCTGGGCATGGTGCCGCGTGCCTGTAATCCCAGCTACTCAGGAGGCTGAGGCAGGAGAATTGCCTGAACCCAGGAGGCGGAGGTTGCGGTGAGCCGAGATCGCGCCATTGCACTCCAGCCTGGGTAACAAGAGCGAAACTCTGTCTCAAAAAAAAAAAAAAAGACGACCTCCTTCTTGAACAAGGTAGCATAAAGAAAAAAAAAGAGAACGTATTTCTTGTTGAGTTTTGGGTAGTATCCAAAAAGAATATCTATAGTTATCTGTAAAGGCTTTTCGAACTGCTTATCAGTGTAAGGCCAGATTTTCTGTTTACCGTTTTTTTTTTTTTTTTTTTTTTTGAGACAGGTGCTTGCTCTGTTGCTCAGGCTGGAGTGCAGTGGCATTCATGGCTCACTGCAGCCTTGACTTCCCCAGGTTCAGATGATCCTCTCACCTCAGCCTCCTGATTAGCTGGGACTACAGGTGTATGCCACCACACTCAGCTAGTTTTTTTTTCTTTTTCTTTTTTTTTTTTTTTGAGATGGAGGTTCGCTCTTCACTCAGGCTGGAGTACCGTGGTGTGATCTGGGCTCACTGCAGCCTCTGCCTCCTGGGTTCAAGTGATTCTCCCGCCTCAGCCTACTGAGTAGCTAGAATTGCAGACGCCTGCCACCATGCCCTGGTAGTATTTGTGTATTTAGAAGAGACAGGGTTTTGCCATGTTGACCAGGCCGGTCTCAAACTCCTGACCTCAAGTGATTTGCTAGCCTTGGCCTCCCAAAGTGCTGGGATTACAAGCATGAGCCACCACTTCCGGCCGGCCAGCTGATTTTTGTATTTTAAGTAGAACTGTGGTTTCACTATGTTACCCTAGCCTGGTCTTGAACTCCTGAGCTCAAGCAATCCACCTGCCTCGGCCTCCCAAAGTGCTAAGATTCATTACAGATGTGAGCCACCATTCCTGGCCTGTCTCATATTTTTCAACCAGGACAAAATATCTCAACAGATTCAGTGTAGAAGCTATCCTCTACAAGGCTATAACTTGGAGAGATTTGTAAAAATGTAAAAACAATGCCAGTTTTTCTCACCAAAATTTTTTGGGAAAAGAATCACTTTTCTTTTTTTTTTTTTGAGACGGAGTTTCGCTCTTGTTACCCAGGCTGGAGTGCAATGGCGCGATCTCGGCTCACCGCAGCCTCCGCCTCCTGGGTTCAGGCAATTCTCCTGCCTCAGCCTCCTGAGTAGCTGGGATTACAGGCACGTGCCACCATGCCTAGCTAATTTTTGTATTTTTAGTAGAGACGGGGTTTCACTATGTTGACCAGGGCGGTCTCGATCTCTTGACCTTGTGATCCACCCGCCTCGGCCTCCCAAAGTGCTGGGATTACAGGCTTGAGCCACCGCGCCCGGCTAAGAATCACTTTTCATAAAAACATGTAATCTATTTCATCTTACTGTGTAACTTAAAAATGAAGGTTTTGGAATGTTTTATTTTAATTTTGAATATAGTAAGCATTGGTAGATAAGCAGAAACTCTTTGTCCTCGGTCATTTTTAGCAGGGGCTGAGGCTGGAGAAGTGCTTGAGTCCAGGAGGCTGAGGCTGCAGTGAGCTGAGATTGAGATTGCACTGCTGCACTCCAGCTGGAGCGACAGAGTGAGACTCACACTGTCTCAAAAAAAAAAAAAAAAAAGGGAAGGAAAAGATGGTGGGGGAGGGGAGGTTGGTGACTGGTGGGGAGGCTGGAGGGACAGCCAGGAGCCAAAGTTAAAACACCAGTGTTGCTTCCTGGCATTGAAGCAGGGGCGTGATGTGATGAGATTTGTATTTGAGGAAGGTCCCCTTGACGGTGGGGAGACAGAAGCGAGAGACCAGAAGCAGGTAGGCAGCCAGGGCTGTAGGAGCCACACTGGACAAGGACAAGGACTAGGACAGCGTGTGGGGATGGCAGAGAGTGGGACAGCTTTGATAGGCTTCCAGGCAGAGGATTAGCAGAAGGCATTAGTGGCGAGGTTGGTGAATGAAAGCTGGGGAGAGATGCTGCTCCGTTGATAAAACAGAGTGGGGAGTGGAGGGTTGGGGAAGACATTTGAGCCCATGGTGGTAGCATGAATAGGCTCGATTCTGACAATTTGAGGGGGTGATGGACTAGTAGGGGATGATTTTAAAAAACATTTTTGTGTTATTTTTAGAGACAGAGTCCTCCTCTGTCACCCAGGCTGAGTGAGCTGGTGCAGTCGTAGCTTGCTGCAGCCTCGACCTCCTGCCTGTACGTGGGCCTTTAGCAGGGGTGATGCATGTGGGTCTGGAGCTCAGGCAGAAGGCCAGGCTGGAAGGAGAGTTGGAGAACCATCAGTTCTTGGGTATTGGCTGAAATCGTGGAGTTAGACAAGAATCTTTGTTTTGTTTTGAGACAGGGTCTCACTCTTGCTAAGGTTGGAGTGCAGTGGCTTGCCCCGACGAGACAAAAATCTTTTTCTGTTAAGAGTGAAGTTTTATAATTTTAGGCTTTTAGTCTGCTATCTCAGGGTAAGAAGGGCCTGTTTAGGAGTGTGGCCGTGGCATATCGAGGCTGTGTTTTTAATTATTGTTACCTTTTTTTAAAGGAAAAATTATATTTTTATCTTGAGACAGTTTTGCTCTGTTGCCCAGGCTGGAGTGCAGTGGTGTGATCTTGGCCCACCAAAACCTCCGCCTCCTGGGTTCAAGTGATAATCCTGCCTCAGCCTGTTGAGTAGCTGGGATTACAGGCGAATGCCACCACAGCTGGCTAATTTTTGTCTTTTTAGTAGAGACGGGGTTTTGCCATGTTGGCCAGATTGGTCTCAAACTCCTGACCTCAGGTGATCTGCTTGCCTTGGCCTCCCAAAGTGCTGGGATTACAGGCGTGAGCCACTGTGCCCGGCCATCAAAATAAAAAATTTTTTATTGAGATGGAGGTCTAACTATTGCTCACCTAGTTTTGAATTCATGGCATCAAGTGATGATCCTCCTGCGTCGGCCTCTCAGAGTGCTCGGATTATAGGTGTGAACCACTGCACCCAGCCTTTAATCATTGTTTCTTGTTCTTAAACCGCCAGAGAGTGGGACCGTGGCCGTGAGCGCCGCAGTCGGGGTGAATATCGGGACTATGACCGGAATCGGCGTGAGCGCTTCTCGCCACCCCGCCATGAACTCAGCCCGCCACAGAAGCGCATGAGGCGAGACTGGTGAGATGGAGTGGTTTCCCTCTCCTCCCCTGCGCCTCATTTCCCCCTGGGCCTTCCCTTTTGCCCCTCACCTGGGCCTAAATCTTTGTTATTGCCTTTTCTCAACTCCCCATCACCCATCGTTTCTTTGTCCCTTAAAACTCTTATCTGGGAGACCATGCTGTGTATGCCCCCGTCTGTCCTCCTTCATGACCTGGGAAGATGGCTTCCTTCTCTGCCTTACTTTTGTGTCCCCCACCCTCAGGGATGAGCACAGCTCTGACCCATACCACAGTGGCTATGAGATGCCCTATGCTGGGGGGGGTGGGGGCCCAACTTATGGCCCCCCTCAGCCCTGGGGCCACCCCGATGTCCACATCATGCAGCACCATGTCCTGCCGATCCAGGCTAGGTAAGGACCAGGCTTCTGGGCTTCTGGGGGATGGTTGGGGTTGCTGAAGCGAGGGATCGGGTGAAGCACACAGAGGCATGCCCCTTGGGTGGGGGTGGCAGCCGTTGGGGTTTGGGGTGATGTCCATGGTGGGCAAAGGAAGGGGGCACCTGGCTACCTTGGCCCCCCTAGTCTCCCTCCCTTCCCCGACAACCAAGCCTTCCTGACTGGACTCCTCTCCAGGCTGGGCAGCATCGCAGAGATAGACCTGGGTGTGCCGCCGCCAGTGATGAAGACTTTCAAGGAGTTTCTCCTCTCCCTGGATGATTCGGTGGATGAAACGGAGGCCGTCAAGCGCTATAATGACTACAAGCTGGATTTCCGGAGGCAGCAGATGCAGGATTTCTTCTTGGCGCACAAAGATGAGGAGTGGTGAGTGCCCCTGCTTCCCCGGACCTTTTCCCTGGCATGTCCCCCTTGCCCCACCGGTGGAGCTGCGGCCCCGTCCTCTTCCCAGTTTCCCCAGTCCGGAACTTTCTGGGGGCGGGGGTCGGGAAGTATGACAGCATTGGCTGATGGGGTCTCCCCTCACTTCAGCGACTGCCACGGCCCCCGCCCCACCCCATCTCATGTCCTGCTGTCCTCAGAGTGGGACACCTCCAGACAGCAGGCCAGAGCCATCTGGCCCCTTGGGGCAGCAGACAGACTGCTTCCCACTTGCCGGTGTTGGGTCACTGTCATCCCTGATCACCAGGACCCCATGTGGCTGTGGCATCTTCCCAAAGCGACGAGTGAATCCAGAGAAGAAAAGCAAAGCTCTCAGGGTCGTTTGACAGAAAAAGAATTTTAATTTTTTTTTCCTTTTGTGGATGTTTTAATTTTAATCAACCATCTTTTCCCCCCTTCCTGCTCCTCCTCCTCCTCATCCTCTTTCTGCTCCTCCTCCTTGAAAAGAGCCAGAACTGGGAACTACACCCGCTCATCGACGGAGCTCGGAGCAAACCCACCTCCACCCCCACCATACCCAGCCCATACATGAGCCCCTGGGCTGAGCCGCGCGGCCCCGGCCAGGCAGACAGGCAGGGCACTGCTGTGCACAATGCAGCGGTTTAGCTGAATGTGATTGCTTAGGCAGTTAGTCAGTCAGGGCCCCCACTGCGGAGTCCCGCGGGGCAGGGCATCTCGGCCGGGCGCCCAGCCAGGAGCCAGCCGGTGGCCCGCCAGCCAGAATGGGCCCTGGGCGCCGCTAGTTAAATCTTGAGCTCTGTTTGACCAAGCGGCCAAGGTAAAGATCCTGGAGGTGATGCCTGCGGCTTTCCTCTCCTCTTCCGCCCCACTTGTGGTTCTGTTCTGTCTTCGCTGTCCCCTCTCTCAAATTGCTCTGTGTGTCTTTGTCCTAATCTCTCGCGCACCTTCATTCTTTCTCTGTCCCTGTTCTTGCTCCTTAACACCGCCTTCCTCCCTGTTGGTTTTCTCAGTTTCTCTCTCTGATCTTTAGTTTTTCTTTGTTTTTGGTTTCTGGGACTTTCTCACACCCTCCCCTTTCCTCCCTTTCTCCTTTTTCTCATACTCCTCATTTCTTTTGTTTGCCCCCTGAGGTCCTATTTGAAATGTTTCATTTTTCTTGTTCCTCCCTAGCCTTCCCTCTCCTCTCTCTCCCCCTGTGGGCAGGACCTGAGGCTCTAAAGGGCGCTCCAGTCTCTCCCTTTGGTCTTTCCTGTCCCTTCACCATCTTGCTTATTTTCCCATGGGTGGAGAAAGATGCTCTGCCTCTGGGTTTTGCTGTCTGGCCCTCTGTCTTCCACCTTGGGGTGGAGGGAGTTGGCGGGAGCAGGTTTTTAATGACTGCAGTTTGGGGTTGGTGAGGAGAGAGAGGTTCTTCAGGGCCTACTATTTCCTGAGCCTTCCTCTCTGAAGCTTTGGGAAATGACACCTTTTTACTATGTTAGTGTTTCCCAGAGACTTAGAGTGGTAGATCTGTCTCTCCAACCCTGGCGTACCCCTGTAGTCATTGGTCTTCCCAAACCCAGAGCTCTTAGTTGCTGGTTCTCCCCCCACATCTTCTCAGAGCACAACTTCTGGTTCCTTTTGGGGTGTTGGGTGGTTTTAGCACACCCCTATCCCCTAATCTCTCTGCTTTGATGACCCTTTGTGGGTGTGAGGATGGGGGCTATGCCGTCTTTCCTGGGCCCCTCCCCACATGCTGGCCTTGGCCTCCAGTAACTGTTTTGTTTTTCCCTCCCCCACTTCGTTCCCAGGTTTCGGTCTAAGTACCACCCAGATGAGGTGGGGAAACGTCGGCAGGAGGCCCGGGGAGCCCTGCAAAACCGACTGAGGGTCTTCCTGTCCCTCATGGAGACTGGCTGGTTTGATAACCTTCTCTTGGACATAGACAAAGCTGATGCCATTGTCAAGATGCTGGATGCAGGTGTGTGGAGTTGGAGGGGTGGCGGGCATCTGGGCCCCATGGGGGCAGGCGTGTCTGGGGACCAGGTAGAAGTGGGTCGACAGGAGCTAGGGCCCTGGGGTTGTGACCTCTGTTCCCTTTGTTGGTAGCCGTGATTAAGATGGAAGGAGGCACAGAGAATGATCTCCGCATCCTGGAGCAGGAGGAGGAGGAGGAGCAGGCAGGAAAGCCCGGGGATCCCGGCAAGAAAGAGGAAGGCCGGGCTGGAGCAGGCCTAGGGGACGGGGAACGCAAAGCCAATGACAAGGATGAGAAGAAGGAAGACGGCAAGCAGGTCCGAGTCCCGGGCCTCCTAGCACTGCCCCTGGCAGCCTGCGGGAAGGAGAGTCCGGGGCAGGGCCCCAAAGGAGCTAGAACTGGGGGGCTGTGTTCTGGGAGGGGTGGGCAGAATGAACCTGTGGGCTCAGCTGTGGGGTGGGGAGCCCTCTGATGAAAGGGGGAGGGGAGATTTGACATCCCCAGTGGCTGTCTCTTCCCATAGGCCGAGAATGACAGTTGTAATGATGACAAAACCAAGTCTGAGGGTGACGGAGACAAGGAAGAGAAGAAAGAAGATTCTGAGAAGGAAGCCAAAAAGGTGAGGCGTCTGTGACCCGGGGTCAGAGCGGCGGGGCTGCGTTCCTGGTGCGTTAACTTGTCCCCTCTTCCGTGGCTCGCACAGAGTAGCAAGAAGCGGAACCGGAAGCACAGTGGGGACGACAGCTTTGACGAGGGCAGTGTGTCGGAGTCCGAGTCGGAGTCTGAGAGCGGCCAGGCTGAGGAGGAGAAGGAGGAGGCCGGTAGGGTTTCTTTTCTGCTTCTGAAGTGTATCCTAGTGCTGGTGGGGAGGTGAGAGGTTGGCAGCGTTGACGGGGGAAGGGTGGCTTTTAGGGGAAGGCTTCTGTCCTCCCCTCCACAATCGGTAATGAAAACACAACTCCTACCGCACCAACTTCCTGCCTAGAAGCAGCGCTCAAGGAGAAAGAGAAGCCCAAGGAGGAAGAATGGGAGAAGCCCAAGGATGCTGCGGGGCTGGAGTGCAAGCCTCGGCCGTTGCACAAGACCTGCTCCCTCTTCATGCGGAACATTGCGCCCAATATCTCCCGGGCTGAGATCATCTCCGTGAGTGGGGAGAAGTGGAGGGCAGAGGGAAGGCAGTGGGGCCCCCGTTTCACCTAATAGGGAGGCCCCATTCCCCAGGAGCCCAAGCCCTCCGAGGGCTGATCTTGATCGCGCCATTGGCTTTCGGGTGCTGGTGTTCTGAAGGCCTTCAGTGGTTCTACCCTGCCCAAGGATGGGAAGAGTGACCATGCAGTTAGTCTCTAGGGTTCTGAGGACAGTGGATTGGAGGAAGAAGTGAATGAATCCTTGAGTCACTAAGTAGGGCTGGTTTTCTGCTGCTTGCAGCTTTGTAAAAGGTACCCAGGCTTTATGCGGGTGGCGCTCTCGGAGCCGCAGCCAGAGAGGAGGTGAGTAACTGGGTGTGTTGGAGGGAAAAGCGCAGGGGAACCTTAATGGCCACCACCACCTCCCTCGCTTGACTGCCCTAACATTTTCTTCTCTAGGTTTTTCCGTCGTGGCTGGGTGACCTTTGACCGCAGTGTTAACATTAAAGAAATCTGTTGGAACCTGCAGAACATCCGCGTGAGTGCTTCGGGTGGGACTGTCTGGGGAAGAGAGTGGGAAGCCAACCTATCTGTCCCGGTGACTTCCCTAGAGCCTTGCCCAGAGGCAACGCAGGCAGACGACGTAGGCAGACAAAGACAGGCCCTGTCAGGTCCCCTTCCTGAGGGAGCTCACAGTTTGATCTATCGCTGGTGCTCAAGGGGGGAGGGTCTTAGAGCTACTACTTCTCCCTGGCAAGTGGGGTTAGTGGAGTAAACTTCTGACGTCTGCCCTCCAGCTCCGGGAGTGCGAGCTGAGCCCTGGTGTGAACAGGGACCTGACCCGACGTGTCCGCAACATCAACGGCATCACCCAGCACAAGCAGATCGTGCGCAACGACATCAAGCTGGCGGCCAAGCTGATCCACACACTGGACGACAGGACCCAGCTGTGGGCCTCAGAGCCAGGGACGCCTCCCCTGCCAACGGTCAGTGACTCCCACAGGACTGTCAGGAGCAGCTGATAGCGCCTCCTCTGCTTGTGGGCACCTCTGACCTCACCTGTCTGCAGCACCTCCTCCAGCTTCCAGCAGAACTGGGGCATGCTAGTGGTCATTTGTGGGCTGGGGTGGAACAAAAGCAAAAATGAAGACAAATCCCAAGGGGGCAAAAGGCGCCAGTTCTGTCTGGTGAGCTTCTGTCCCCTCACCACTCTTCACATGCGGAAGGTCTTGGGTTACCTGCCCTGAGGGTTTTTCTCTGCCTAACTTGCCCCTTTTCCTTCCACCAGAGCCTGCCCTCGCAAAACCCGATCTTGAAGAATATCACAGACTACCTGATCGAGGAAGTCAGTGCTGAGGAGGAGGAGCTGCTGGGGAGCAGCGGGGGTGCCCCGCCTGAGGAGCCTCCTAAGGAAGGGAACCCGGCAGAGATCAATGTGGAGCGGGATGAGAAGCTGATCAAGGTGCCAGCAGTGGCAGCGCAGGGACGTGGGGGTCGGGTGGTAAGGGCAGGAAAAGGAGCCGAGCACCCATACTCCACGTCCTCAGGTCTTGGACAAGCTGCTTCTCTACCTGCGCATCGTGCATTCCTTGGATTATTACAACACCTGTGAGTACCCCAACGAGGACGAGATGCCCAATCGTTGTGGCATCATTCACGTTCGGGGGCCCATGCCGCCCAATCGCATCAGTCATGGGGAAGGTGAGCTCCAGGTTCCCCTTCCTCCCCGGCCCCTCCCACCACGCTTCCTTCCACCTCCCTTCCCAACCCTCCTCCCTCTGTTCCCAAACCATAGTGCTGGAGTGGCAGAAGACGTTTGAAGAGAAGCTCACGCCGTTGCTCAGTGTGCGGGAGTCGCTTTCAGAGGAAGAGGCCCAGAAGATGGGCCGCAAAGACCCAGAGCAGGAAGTGGAGAAATTCGTTACCTCCAACACGCAGGAACTGGGCAAGGATAAGTGGCTGTGTCCTCTCAGTGGCAAGAAATTCAAGGTCTGGATGTTGGAGAATGGTCGTGCCAGGGTGGTGGGAGGTGGGGCTGAGACAGGAAGCCCCTAAAGGCCTGGGCCTGGGGTGGGAGAACTGCTCACTGGACTGGCAGGCGGGAGCTGGGAATCCTTTCAGGTCGGGCCTGGGAGTGAGGCGAGCGTTACATGGCTTTTGTGACCCCGCTCCTCTCTCCACCCAGGGTCCTGAGTTTGTGCGCAAGCATATCTTCAACAAGCATGCTGAGAAGATTGAGGAAGTGAAAAAGGAGGTGGCGTTTTTTAACAACTTCCTCACTGATGCCAAGCGCCCAGCTCTGCCTGAGATCAAGCCAGCCCAGCCACCTGGCCCTGCCCAGAGTAAGATACGATCCATGAGGGTCACATGTCTCCTCTCCCTTGTCTGTCCAGGGACTCCTGTTTCTCTTTTACCAACTGAGAAGTTTCTGCCCCATCCTCAGGTCATAGCCCTAAAAGTCAGTTGTTCTGCCCCACCCTCCCTCCCGCAGTAATTCATGTCCCTAAAAGTCAGTTGTTCTGCCCCACCCTCCCTCCCGCAGTAATTCATGTACCTGTCCGTGTTGTACTCCCCCCAGGTTTGACCCCGGGACTCCCCTACCCACACCAGACTCCCCAGGGCCTGATGCCCTATGGTCAGCCCCGGCCCCCGATCTTGGGCTATGGAGGTAAGTACAGGAGGGCGATGAAGGGGCTTGGTGAGTGACATCGGGCGAAAGGGAGAAACAGGATGGAGTTGAGGACATAGTTTTGCAACTCAATGCTGATCTCTTGTCATAGCTGGTGCTGTCCGCCCTGCAGTCCCCACAGGAGGCCCTCCATACCCCCACGCCCCGTATGGTGCTGGCCGAGGGAACTACGATGCCTTCCGAGGCCAGGGAGGTTATCCTGGGAAACCTCGCAACAGGTGAGGAGGAGCACACACGCCCAAGCTTTGTTGCCTCCTGCAAACTCCCTTTTGGGAACCCTCAGCTCTCATACTTTACCTCTCATCTCACAGGATGGTTCGTGGAGACCCAAGAGCCATTGTGGAATATCGGGACCTGGATGCCCCCGACGATGTTGATTTCTTTTGAACCGTCACCGTTCCTCGCTTCCTCACTCCTGTATCATCCTTTACTTGTGACTACCTGGTCCCATCCAACTCTGATTTTTTGTACGATCAGCCTTACTGCCAATAAAAGCACTTCCACAGGGCTTCTGACTCATACACATCTCCCCCATCCTTCCAAAGGAATTCCCGAGGTGCTGCTCAGCCCTGTCACTTTTATTACTGATGTCAAAAGGCCCCGGCTCTGCGGGGACACCAGCCTCAGGTACACAGATGCATGTCTGGGACTGGAGAGTCTCAGTTCTGGAACTTCGCTGTCAGTCTCGGGGGTGCTGCTGCTATTCTGAGCTATGGCTGGTCAAGCACAGGTTGTAGAAAGAGTTGGGGTCAAAGGCCTCCTTTATCTCTCGCCAGCCCACCCACCCAGCAGCCTGTAGTTCACTGGGGCTTTTTGGAGCGCCCCAGCAGTGAGGGTCCAATACCAGGACGTAGGCTTCCGTGCCTGACCCGATGCAGACTCCCAGCAAGGCCTTGGACCTGGCATCCGCGTCCCCTCCAACCATGACTGGGCCCCCGCCCCCTGCGAAGTGGGAGTAAAGCCTCTCCAGCTCCCCGTGCAGCCCCGCTCCCCGAGGCACGTGGCAGAGGCGCCCCTGGGTCCCTCCGAAGTGAGCGAGGCACAGGCTGGCCTCCACGCAGCCGATCCAGTCGCGCGAACCCCGGAAGCCGGGGGGCTTGTCACCCATGTCCTCCAGGGCCGCCTGCACGGCGGCCAGTCCAGGTACGCCCGCGGGCTGGCCCTCCGGCCACGAGCACAGCGTCTGCAGAGTGCGGTAGCCACAGCCCCAGCCGCGGTCATCCAGACCGTCGCAGCCGTAGTGGTAGTAGAGGTAGTGGCCCGAGAGCAGCGCCAGGCGGGCAGGGCCGCGGCTCGGCGACGCCAGGCCCACGTGGACGTCCCTCAGCAGCTCCAGGGCGGTGAGCGGGAGGGGCAGCCCCAGGCCGGGTACAGCGTCCACCCGGCGGCGCGGAACGACCCCAGACTCCAGCACTTGCCCTCAGCTCCGGGTCTTGGGCCAGGTGCCGCAGAACCGGCGCGCAGGCGGAGGACACGCTCCCCGGGCCTCGGCGATCAGCGCAGGCAGCAAGCGGCCGCCACGGGCAAGGACTCCCACAATGCCCCGCAGCGCCTCGCCCTCCCCTCCGCCGTGCCCGCCTGCCCGCCCGCGAGCCGCACTTCGCAGGCGCGAGATCCGCCCCACGGGGCGGGGCCAGGGACTAGCCTTGGCCGGAGTGCGCAGGCGCTTTGCGCCCGCCTCAGAGCTCGCCTGTCCCTCGCCCTCCGGCCCCGCGCCTGCATGGACTCGGACCCCGGGACTCCGGCGTTCTGCCCACTACTCCCGGCTCCCTAGTCGCGCACACTCCCGTGGCTGTAACAGTTTATTGGCAGCCCGAAGGGGCGAAGGCACCGCGGGGGTGGGAGCTCAGCCCGAGACATGCAGAGGACGGGGAGCCCCGGGGGACGTCGGGGGTGGGGTGGGGATGGGCAGGGTCTGGGGCTCGTCTGTGTTGTAGCCCAGCCCTGAAATAAATAGTATATACAGCTAGGGGGCCTGGCGGAGCGGGGGACGTGAGGGTCCCGCCGGGGTCACAGGTCTGAGCAGCGATCCTGCTTGCTGTAGTGGTCGAACTGGTTCTTCCAGTGCACCATGTAGGAGCTCCAGCGGTGGAACTCGGCCTTCCACTGGCGCTCCGCTTCGTCGAGCGTGTCTGCGGCCAGGGCGCCCGGCGAGGCGGTGGTGGGGAGGACGGCACGAAGAAGATCGGGGATCGCACGTGGGAGGGGGAGCATGAGTGCAGGGAGGACGCACGGAGAAATGCAGGCGACCACGTGGGATGGTGACAAGAGGATCAGGAGAATGCGAAAGACGAGAGGGAGGATAAGGGCAGAGGCGGGGCCGGAGAAGGACAGCAGGAAGGAGAGAGGAGGAGAAAAGGATGAGGCAGGGGGACAGAGGGAACCAGGAGGGGGAGGTTGGGGGAAAAAGAAGAGACAGAAATGGTTGACTGTTATAACCCCAATGGGGGAGATACTATTCAGCCTGGGGGCCCCCTCTGTCCCCCAGTGTCAGGCTCAAGCTCCAAAAGATAATTTTATAAAAGAATATTGACTTTTTCATTTCCATTCAAACAACAAAGGTCCCTGAGACGGGTGGGAGGCGCGGCCCCCTCCTCCTGCCCTATCTTGGCTTGAGGAGGGAGGGGGCGCTGGGTCTGAGATCCCTGAGTGGGGCCTTTCCCCATGGTTCGACCACTCATTAGAGGAGGGACCCCTGTGGCCGGAGGGGAAGAGGCCGTGGTCACAGCCGCAGAAGCTGGGAGAGCAAGAGGAGGAGGAGGTGGTGGAGGAGGAGGGGCAGGGGGAGGCCGGGCCTCGGAGCAGCCTCCCCATGGGTGAAGCCTGAGCAGGTGCTGGGAGCCTCCGAGGCTAGGGGGAGAAGAGAGGGGTTACACCTGGCCGGTTCCCACTCCCCTTCTCCCAGCCGCTGCCCGCCGGCCCCTGCGTACCGGTGGCGCTGAGCAATTTGGGGAGGAAGCGGTTCCAGAAGGCACAGGCCTGGGCGCGCAGCCCCTGCCGCACCTCCAGTGGCCGCAGGTCCAGGCTCACATACTGCTGCGCCCCCGCCGTGTACAGGGGCCACTGCGGGGCCTTGGGGTCTCGGGGCTCATTGGGGTCCCTGCGGAAAAAAGGGAAGGCTCAGCCCAGATGGGCAGTGGGAGGAGGCAGCCCCCATCCCCACGGGACCCTGGACTCCAGCTCTGCAGAGAGCGCCAGAGAGCCCGTCTCCTCCCCCCACCACCAAGTCACTCCTTTCCCTTCTCCAATGTCCCCAGGGTCATCCGGGTCTTCCCTTCCTCCTGTGCTCCCTGTCTCCTCTCCATTTCCCTCAGCTTTTCTGTTTCATCTTTGTTTCTCCCACTAAAAAAATGGCTAGGGGGTCTTGAGCTCTTCCTAAGCAACCAGGACCAGGACAGGTCGTAGGTCTACAAACATCACATTTTAACACCACCTGATGCTAGATTTCATTGTCCTCTTCTTGATCCAGGTAAATTTGTGTGTGTGTGTGAGAATGTGTCGCTGGTGGTGAATCATCACTGGTTTGACTCAATCCAGCTCGAACTCCTTTGTCTTGGGTCTCCTGATTTTTTTTTTTTTTTTTTTTCCAGAGACAGGGTTTTACCCTGTTGCTCGGGCTGGAGTGCAGTGGCACCATCACAGCTCACTGCAGCCTCAACCTCCCAGGCTCAAGCAATCCTCCTGCCTCAGCTTCCCGAGTAGCTGGGACTACAGGCACCAGCCACCAGCCACCATTCCTGGCTAAGTTTTCTAAGTTTTGTGTATATGTGTGTGTGTATATATATATATGTTTTTTTTTTTTTTTTAAAGACAAGGTCTTGTTATGTTGTCCAGGCTGTTCTTAAACTCCTGGCCGAAAGAGAGGCTCCCACCTTGGCCTCCCAATGGGCTGGGATGACAGGGTGAGCCACCATGCCCGGCCTCCCTGTGTCTACATCTTCTCACTTTCCTTTCTGTCTTTCCCCTTTTGTCTCTCTTGTGAGCATGTCCACCTCCGGCTCTCCTGTCCTGCCCTGTCCCACGGTCCTTGCATCTCTGTGTGTCTGCCTCTCTCTGTGTCCACCCCCCCCCCCACCGCATTCCTGTCCTCCCCAGCCTCCTCCCCATCTCCACTGCTGACCCTGTGCGGGCGAAGTTGGCCCAGTATTGCATCAGTCGCTTGGCAAAGATTTTCTCCTCTGCGGTGTAGTTTCGAGAGGGGTCCAGGGGGATCCCAAAGATGAACTCGATCTCGTAGCCGTGGGGCACCCCCATCCACAAGGGCCAGGAGAGCGTAGAGGCACGGTGTTCAAAGACGTAGGCGTAGACCCGGGCACCCTGGGTGGCCAGTCGCCCAGCCAGCTGGGCCACGGGGCACACGACATTGTGGTCGCCCACTACATCACTCAGGGCCTCCCTCAGGCGCGCCGGGTCCTCGGGATGCAGCCAGTCTGTGTAATGCAGGACCACAGCCTCGGCCGCCAGGTCACTTACCTGGGGGACCCCGACCCGCACCCCTTCCAGGAACTGGGCCCGGCTGATGAGAGACTCGTTGTCTTTGCTGAAGCCTGGGGCCCCGTAAACCAGAAAATACGAGCCCTCATCCTTCACCACACCCACCAGCACCTGGGGGTGAGGGAGAGGAGGATGGGATGGAGGGACGGGCATAGACAGACAGGTAGACAGAAACAGATGGACAGACAAAGAACCAGAGAGATGAACAATTACAGACCCGGAACCACGGATGGAGAGAGGCTGAGATCAGGGGAGGGGTGCAGAGAAAGAGAAAATAGACCCATGGTGCCTTTCCTGTCGGCCCCGCTGACCACCCTGGGATCTGAGCCCTCAGGGAGAACTTCTGGGAATGGGTCTGGAGAAGCCCTGATGCCTGGGTCCCTGTGGGGAGGGGAGGGGCTGTTGGGGCCCAGAGGAGCCAGCTGCATCCCTGCCAGACACTAGTTACCTGCAGGCCATGAAAGTCGCCGGCGTTGATGAGGGCCTCTGGGGTGTCACTGAGGAAGTCTCCGTCCACCACAGGCACGAAGGAGAATCGAAAGACGCTTTCTTGAGGCAGCACATGCCATTCGTGTTTCACCAGGTCCTGCGCTGGTCGTGCCCGAAGGCAGGCTACTAGCTCTGTGTCATTCCCACCTGTGCCGCCGGGTGGACAGCCCACATAGTGGGCCAGCAGCGTGGCCCTGCGGCGGGCCTCTCCCACACCCACTGTGGCCCAGGGCCCATTGGGGGTACCACTCTGCAGCACTGCCCTGTGGAACAGGCCCCGACTGGGCGGGGACAGCAGGTGCATGCCCACCGAGGCGGCACCTGCGCTCTCCCCAAACAGTGTCACTGATGTCGGGTCCCCCCCGAAGGCTGCCACGTTCTCCTGCACCCACTGCAGGGCCAGCCTCTGATCCAGGAGACCCACATTGCCCGGGGCCTCTCGGCTCCCCGGCAGGGCCAGGAAGCCAAAGGCTCCCACCCGGTAGTTCATGGACACCAGCACAGTCCTCTCAGCCTGCACCAAGAAGCGGCCATCGTATACGTCCAGGGAGGAGGCCCCACTGTAGAAGCCACCCCCGTAGATCCAGACGAGGACAGGGGCAGGGGATGCAGGCCGGGGGTGTGGCGTCCACACGTTGAGGTAGAGGCAGTCCTCGCTCAGCTCACGGTTGGGGTTCCACATCTCGGTGCCCTCAAAACCCGGGTACAGGGTATCCACATATTGGTAGCAGACACTCTGGAAGGTTGTAGCGTCCAGCACCCCTGGCCAGGGCTGCTTGGGCTCCGGTGGCAGAAAGCGACGGGGTCCCACAGGTGGCTCCGCAAAGGGGATGCCCAGGAAAGCAGAGACAGGGCCCCCAGGGGCCTTCAGGCGAATGCCCCGCAGCCGGCCCCCACGTACCGTCACCAGCAGCTCTGCGTCCTCCCGGCCCTCAGCCCCCATCCGTCCTCCCAGGAGCCAGAGGAGGAGGAGAAGGAGTGGGGAAGCCAGGGAAGGCATGTGCAGGGGACACCGCGGGGGCCTCATGGCTGCAGGGCAGGTGGCGTCTGCTGGGAAAAAGAAAGGGAGAAGGTTGAAGAGCCGAGAAGCCAGGAGGGAGGAGATTAGGGCACAGTCGGCCCAAGGGTTATCACTCAGCTGCAGAGGAGGTGGGGCAGGTTGGCAAAGATGAGGGTAGAGAGGGAGGGAGGAAAGGAGACGGGCAGAGACAAGGACACAGGCCAGCGGGCAGGAGGGGACAGAGATCAGGCAGACACCCCCATCCAGACAAATGCAGGGAACAGAGAGGAGCACCCCGCAGGGGGCCGACCGCCCTCACCTCCTTCCCAGCTCTGGGAACTGGGCCCGGCCCAGCTCCTGCAGTGTGGGCACCAGAGGCCGCAGTCCACGTACAGGCCACCCGACAGGGGCGCGGCCTCAGGGATGGGCGGCGCCACTCGGGGAGCGTGCGGTGGCCTGAAGGCGCAGCCCCTCTCCTGGGTTGGCCAGGCCCGGGCCTTTGGGGGGTGGTGGGCTGGGCATTCAGGGTGTGGAAGCCTCAGGTTCCCGGGTCCCCCAAATTCTGCCTA